CCATGGTCACCCATTTTGTATAATTGATGAATTCCTTGTTTTTCATCATATTCTTTTGTGTTGTTTGTTCTTTTGACACTCAATAGTACATCCAGTATTCTTCTCCAACTCCAAAATTCACAGACATCAATTCTTCTCCAGTCTTATTCTACTTATTCATTATCCCATTTTTGCTTGTATATGAGGTAATTGAGTTAATCATACTTCGCTCTTCAAAATGACATCCTTACTCCTTAGCACTGTGTGGTGGTAGGATTTTGAAAATGGCTTTTTCAGCCATTGCCTTCACTCCCTCTGGGGTGTGATCTCTACCTGCCTCAACCCCAAACACACAGTTCAATGTTGATCAGCATCTTCTACAACAGCAGCAGCTGAGGGGCCAACACAAGAGGGAGAGCTGCAAAGACCCTGGCAAGGCATAGCCTGATGGAGCCTTGGGGGTGGAGCCAGAGTTAAAAGTTTTTCTTCCTAGATGATTGGAGTTTTAGCTGCAGATTTTCCTTAAACTTTTAAAATTGTTTTGTTTACTGCTTTGATTTCTTGATTGCTGCTGCTGTGGATGCTGATGGTAGATTCAAGTAAAATGAAACCCTTTTTACAATATCAGTCTTTTCTCCTTTGTCATGATATTGCTTATTGGTCTAATGGTGAGGAATTTTGTTTTCTTGACGTTGAGGGATAACCCAAATTGAAGACCATAGTCTTTCATCTTCTGCTGCAAGTGCATCAAAATTTGGTGATCTGCATATGACAGGTTGTTGATGGGTCTTTCTCCAGTTCTGATGCCATCATCTTCATGTAATCCAGCTTTTCAGATTATTTGCTGGGAATAAAGACTGAATAGAAGGAGACCTGCTGGCCTAATGGTTAGGAGCTGTGTCACCAACCTGAAGGTATTTGGTTCAAAGCCACCAGCTATTCTGCAGTAAAATGCTGAGCAGTCTCTTCATGTACGATTTAAAGCTGCTGAAAACCCACTGGAGGGTCAGCTATGAGTTGGTTCTGACTCAGTGGCATACAACAACAACAGATTAAATAAGAATGATGAAAGGATACAACCCTGACACATACTTTCCTGATCTTTAAGCCCTGCAGTACGCCTTTGTTCTGTTCAAATTACTACTTCTTGGTCTGTTTATTGGTTCAGTAATTATTCTTAATGGATAACTATAATTTAAAAGGATTCACACAGTTGAATGTCTTTGCATAATTACTAAAGCACAAATAGACATCCTTCTGCTATTCTCTGCTTTCAACCAAGATCCATCTGACATTAGCAATGTTATCTCCCCCTTACACAGCCTCTTCTGAATCCAATGTAAATTTCTGGACGTTACCAGGAACTTTTTAGTTATATTCAGCAAGATTTACTTGTATGTCATAGTAATGTTATTTCATAATTTCGGAATTATTTTGGAATGTGTGTAAGTTTCTGGATTTCCCCAAATCAAGTGGCCAGGTAGCAGCAGTCTTTTCAATTTCTTGCCATTGATGAGTGAATGCTTGCAGCGCTGTATCTATTTGTTGAAATGTCTCAATTGGTATTACATCAGTTCCTGTGACCTTATTTTTTGCCAGTATCTTCAGTGCAACATGAACTTTGTTCTTCAGTTGCATTGGTTCTTGATCTGCCTCTTCCCGAAGTGTCTGAACATCAGCCAGGACTTCTTGGTACCATGACTATGTATATTCCTTTCGTTTTCTTTTTATGCTTCCTGTGCCATTCAATAGTGTTCACTATTACGACCTGAGCCTTCAGTCTTCTCTTCAATTCTTTCAACTGTCAAAATGCCAAGCAAGTTACTCCGTTTTTATTTTCTAACTCTAGGTCTTTGTAGGCATCATTCTCATGGAAGCTACCACAGTGTAACAAATTTACAGACAAGTGGCAGATAAAACCATTAGAGGGAATCGTAAGCAGAAGGAGGGGTATTTTCCAAGAAAGCCTTATAGTGCATGCAGGTGTAATGAATTGAACATTATCCAAATGCACCTTAAGCAATACATACCAATACATTTTTTAAAGTTATGATATTGTTTTATAGAGCTATGGGACTAGTTAAAATTACACTTAATAGACAGATTTTAAAAGTATGTGTATTCAATATGTTAGTTTAACAGGCTTTATGGTGTAGTAGTTCAAGTCCTCATCAATTAACTAACGGTTCTGAGATTTCAATTAACTGAGGAGGACCTCATGCACTTGCTGCGAAGGGTCAAGGACTGCAGCCTTCAGTATGGACTGAGGCTCAATGTCAAGAAGACAAAGATTCTCACCACTGGACCAGTTGGCAGCGTCAGGATGGATGGCGAAGAGATTGAGATTGTTCACAGCTTCAGTTTGCTCGGCTCCACAGTCAACACTCTTGGCACCAGCAGTCAGGAAATCAAAAAGTGTATCGCGATGAGACAGTCTGCTGTTAGGGACCTCTCTAAGGTACTCAGGAGCAACAGTGTCTCTCTGGAGATTAAGGTGCGCCTGATACAGGCCATGGTATTTGCAATCGCTTGTTATGCATCAGAGAGTTGGACAATGACTAGGGAGGACAGAAGGAGAGTGGATGCTTTTGAGCTGTGGTGCTGGAGAAGAGTACTGAATGTACCATGGACTGCCAGGAAAACAAACAGATTCATCTTGGAGAGGATTAAACCAAGCTACTCCTTGGAGGCAAGGATTCTGGGGCTTCGTCTGACATACTTTGGACATGTTGCCAGGAGGGACGGGTCCTCGGAGAGGGACATCATGCTTGGGAGGGTGGAGGGACGGCGCAGGAGGGGAAGACCCTCTATGAGATGGATTGATTCCGTGACTGGGGTAATCGGGATGGGTGTGTCAGAGACAGTGCGGTTGGCGCAGGATAGAGCAGGGTTTAGGGCTGTTGGCATAGGGTCGCTATGAGTCGCAAATGACTCGACGGCACGTAACAACAACAACAGCTACTCTATAGTGAAGTCTGGTGGCCTAACGGGTAGGGAGTTGTGCTGCCAAGCCGAAAGCATGCAGTTTGCATCCACCAGCTGCTCTGCAGGAAAACTCCTCTGAAATGCTACTTGAGAGTTGAGCAGTGAGCTGGTTCAGACTCAACAGCACATGATAACAGCAAGAAGCCTGTATCTGGGAGAAAGATTAGACAGCCTGGGGTCTATCAAGATTTACAGCCTCAGCAGATTCTAAAGAGAACTTCTACTCAGCCCTGTATGGTTGCTGTCAGTATGAATTGACTTTTTGCACTGTGTGTCTGTGTGTGTGTGTGTGTGTGTGTGTGTAATAGCTTAAAGATTCAGTGAGTCATGAACAGATTATTCAAATTACCAGAGAAAAAAAGATCTGGGGGAGGCATTGTGTAACAATGAAAGAATTTTTATTTTACTTTTCAAAGAGAGGAGCAAACTGGGGGTGAGGGGTGGACAGGGAGAAAAGTACAACAATGAATGAATGGAAATCCAAAGTCTCTGTAAATTTTCATTAAAATTAATAATAATAATAAAAGAAAAAAGATCAATAACAACTAGATTTTTAAAGGCAAAGATAGGAATAGGTATGCACCAAGAAGTATGACTAGTAAACTAGCCAAAGAAAAAAGAGGATCTGTACTAGTGTCCAAGTACATACAAATTAAGAAACCTTGAGATATCATCCAGAGTGTCAGAGATGGTGAGGACGGCACAGGAGAGGACAGGGTTCAGATCTGTTGTTCATAGGGTCGCTATGAGTTGTACCTAATAACAACTGACTGAAGGAGGAGCCTTGGTGGCAGAATGATTAAGTGCACAGGTGCTAACTGAAGGCCAGAGGTGGTAACCCACTCAGCAACCCTACAGGAGAAAGGTGAGCCGTCTGCTTTCATAACTCTAGACGAGAAACCTCTTTGGCTAGTTCTACATGGTGTTGCTGTGAGTTGGAATCCACTCAGGCGTACCCACCACCACCACCACATTGGCTCAAATATCTTTTTGGATTGAGGGTCAGTGAAATTGGTTTTCTCACCAGTGCTGGTCTTATTATAAAGTGCAAAGGCTCTTTTGGAAAGCATCACCGTATTCTGTGTAATCAGACTCCTGGGTTTGATCACCTTGACCTAGCTGCCTGCCCTAAGCCAATGCCAGCCACAGAGCAGCCCTGGTCGAGGGCCCTGGACCAGCTGAGTGCACACAGTTTCTTCCTGTGACTTCCTGAGTATTTCATTCCCTGTAAGAGGAGTCCTTCCTTCCTTTTCTCTGTAGAATCCCAGTCATTTCCTCAGTGCCTGTTGATGTCCAGCTCAGTGTCCCAAAGGGGTCTTGCTGACTCCCTTGGCTGCAGGACAATTGGCTGGTAAAGTGACTTCCATCCCATCACCTTCACAAACTATCAAAATAGAAACACTGGAGAGCAAGTCCAGGAAGGCCAAGGGTGAAGATTCCAGCTCTGTGTCTCGCAAAACAAACCTGAATGAAACTGAGCCCTGGGCCAGGTGCCAGCCATCTTGGATTTCCTGATCAACCGCTGTCTGCTTAGATTTACCTTTATTATTATTATTATTATTATTATTATTATTATGTGAGTGTACCGTCAAATCAGATCTGACTGGTACAGGAGGAGATTGTCCCTCCTTTCCCAGCAGAGCATCTGGTGGATTCGAACTGTGCACCTCTGGGATTGTAGTTGCAGCTCCTTGTCACTAGGCCACCAGAGCTCCCCCAGATTTACCTTTTGTGAGACTTTTGGGTAAGGCTCACCCTGGCAGCCCAGTGTCTTTCTGGCATCACGAACCTATCTCATATAAAGAAGAGGTGGTCAGACTTGGAAGACGTAGCCTTTCCCCACTAGCTTCTCCTTGGTCTCCATTTGCTTGCTGTGAATTGAAATGCTAAGAGGTAGATCAATTTTGCTTTTCAAAGAAAGCACAACATTGAAACACGGTGTTCCAGCGGTCCAGCCAAGTGCTTGAGCCATGACTTGAGTGAGTGCCTGATGCTGTTGGTAACCCTGTACTGAAAGTCCTCTTGTCTTTTGGCAGAACTGGCTTATGATCTGGACGTGGATGATGCCCCCGGAAGCAAGCACCATGCAAATCCGAAGGACAACGAGGTTGCCTCCTCCTCTCACAACGTGGGCAACGGGCAGTCTCCACTGAAGGTCCTAACCAGCGTGGTGATCTATGTGCTGTGCTTTTTCTTCCTGGTGCACTGACTTCCTAGTGCACAGCCCACGTGCTGCCCGGCAGCACCCCATGGTCCACCTCTCTAAAGGGGACCACTTTCTTTCTTTTTTTTTTTTTACCCTGTATACCTCCTCCAGCCATTAAGTAGAGAACTAACTTTGAGTTACGTTTTCGAAAACCAAGTGGTATCTTTTGAGGAAGGTAAAACTTAGCAGTAGTATAGATTTGTCCTTTTGCAAAGAAAAGAAAAAAAAGCAAAAAAAACACCACATCAACAAGTTGTGCAGATTATTTTCCTACGTTTGGCTGCTGTAACATGGATACCATGTCTCTCTATCTCTCTTTTTCTCTTTGCATGGATTTCTTTGGAAAAAAAATACAATAAATGTTCAAATAAAAATGTGTTGAGTCCTTTTTTGTTGTTGTTTGGAAGCCCTTTGGAAGGGCCCAATGGTGGTCATTCCATCCTTTTGACACGTCTCACTCAGTGTCCTGTCCAGTATAATAAATCGACATTAGGCCCTACCTGCATTTCTTGAAATCCATCTCCCTACCTCCTTTCCAGGGAGTTCTGGTGACCTAGTGGTAAGGAGCTGCCCCAAGAACCCAAAGGCATGAAGTTCAGATCCCTCATCTACTCTCTGAGAGAGACGAGAAATCTCCCTTGCAATTTGCTGCCTCTAAAACTCACTAGAGGGTCAGCTGTGAGTTGGTTACAACTTTGTTGTTGTTATGTGCCGTCGAGTCGCTTGCAACTCATAGCGACCCTATGTACAATAGTCCTAAACTCTGCTCTGTCTTGTGCCAATCGCACCATCTCTGACACACCCATCCCAATTTCCCCAATCACTGTAATCAATCTACCTCATAGGGGGCCTTCCCCTTTTGCGTTGTGCCTCCACCCTACCAAATATGATGTCCCTCCCCAAGGACCTGTTCCTCCTTGCAACATGTCCAAAGTATGTTAGAGGGAGCCTCAGAATCCTTGCCTCCAAGGAGCAGCCCAGTTTGACCCTTTCCAGGATGAATCAGTTTGTTTTCCTAGCAGTCCATGGGACCCTCAATACTCTTCTCCAGCACCAAAGCTCAAAGGCATCAATTCTCCTTCTATCCTTCCTGGTCATTTTCCAACTC